ACACGTATTTCTTGGCTCCATAAGAAGATTAAGTTCGAAGATGGATAAAATCGGCCCACTGCCGCGCCCACAAAATGGCGAAAACCGAAAACCTATAAAGTGTCATAACTAAGCCATAAATAAAGATATTAAAGTGAAATTTGGCACAAAGGATCGCATTAGGGAGGTGCATATTTGGACGTTTTTGGAAAATTGGGCGTGGCCCCGCCCCCTACTAACTTTTTTGTACATATTTCGAAAACTACTATAGCTATGCCAACCAAACTTTATAGAGTCGTTTCCTTCAGGCATTTCCATTTGTATAGTTCAAAAATGGAAGAAATCGGGTAATAACCACGCCCACCTCCCATACAAAGTTTATTTTAAAATTCACTAAAAGTTTGTTAACCGACTAACAAAAAACGTCAGAAACACTAAATTTTACAGAAGAAATGGCAGAAGGAAGCTGCACCCAGGCTTTGTTTAAAAATTGAAAATGGGTGTGGCGTCGCCCACTTATGGACCAAAAACTATATCTCAGGAACTACTCAACCGATTTCAATGAAATTGGGTGTATAATATTTTCATAACACCCTGATCACATGTACGAAATATGGGTTAAATCGGTTCACAACCACGCCTACTTCCAATATAACGCTATTTTGAATTCCATCTGATGCCTTCTCTGTATAATATATCCATTAGCAACCAATGATGATAGCGGAATAAAACTTTACACAAATACGGTATTTGATGCGAGAGTATAAAGTGTTCGGTGACACCCGAACTTAGCCCTTCCTTACTTGTTAAGGTATCTTAATGAAATACAGAGAGCATCTATTGGTATTTATAATAAGTCTTTCTACCAAATCTCAGTAATATCTAATCAATATATTATACTAACTAGCTGCCCTATATATAATATAACTTCTGGTTGCCTTCATACCGTATACATTCCTCAATATGTGATATACCTAAGTGAAGATATGATCCATTCACTCTTCCGTCGAATAACGAATATTCAATTCATTCGCAATATTTTTATTCTCTCGCAATATGAAAAGTTTTTCCCGCTATTTATTTTTCCGAATTGCGAGTGTATAAAATGTTCGGTTAAACAAAATGTTAGTCCTAAATTCGAAAGATAGTGTTACTATTTTTATACCCTGAACAAGGTATATTAAGTTTGCCACGAAGTTTGTAACACCCAGAAGGAAGCATTTGACGTGGGATCTTCACGAAATTTTACATGGATTACTGCTTAAGGTAATAATATAATCTCCGATAAAATTTTTCACATCGGATTACTATAGCATATAGGTTCCATACAAACTGAACTGCAAATTCGTCCTGGTTTATTCTCTAAGGCAACGCTACAATAGTTGAACGTCTAAAGGATCCATTTTCTTTATTAAATAACCTTAATGTTTCTAAGAAATAGTAAAAGGTTTTACTTTGGATAAAACCACTGGCCGGTTAAGTCTTTAGATTTACTTAAACACATAGTTAATAAAAGAAATGCACCTGTGAGGGGTTGTTATCATTCTAAAATAGATTTCATTCTTTAGTTTTTGCTTCAAAACATCATTGACCCAGGTCTATCAGTTGTTTGACCACTAATGGCAAATAGGAAACTTGTTTTATAATTTTGAGACGACTTCTAGTATCGAAATAAATATTATTCCCTTAATTTAACTTTGATCTATTAATCTGGACAGTTTCGCCAACAAGCGCCTATCACAGAGTCTTCATATTATATAATAAAGGGTGTATCAAAATGAATCTAAGTTTTAAATTGGCCGCCATTTCACTTAATCTTCACATTTGACGAAAGTACTACTACGCCCATAGTTTGTATGAAATTTTGGAACCGGGGCCGCCAAGCTTTTATTAAAACTTTAAATAAAAAGTTAAATCTTGCATCAATTTCGGCACACCCTTTACCACAAAATAGCGTTAAAATGTCCTACTTTCAAAGAAAAAAGTATTGATTTTTATTTTTGATATTTTAAAATCTTTCCAGCAGCTGCAATGGGAGTGGGTGTCAGACGGCCGCTAGTTTACAACTACGTACAACCACACCACCCGTATTATCGCGCATAAAAACAACGATCTGCTGCCTTATTCACGCCACTCTTAAGTAATCTGCAATTCCTGTTTGTCACGTCTGTTTAGATTGTAATTACAAGCAATATTTGCTATTTATTTACTGTAGATTTTTAAAGCAATCATACAAAAATGTGCTGCAAATACAAAAAA